GGTTGTCAGGCAAGCCCACTGCGTTGTCTGATTAACAGGAGAACGAAAAAACCCTGGGGACCTGATGCCACAGCCTAAGGTCCAAGCCTTCTTGTCGTGTTTCTCATGTTTTTGCTTTTCCTTGATGTCCTCGTGCATCAGACAAACTTACTGTACTTGCAACCAATCACATGCTTGACAACCAGCTTCGTGCGCTGGATAGGACAATGCTCCTCGACCTTTTGCTTCACCTGAAAACAATTGTCTGATCAAAACTGTAGCTCTGAAAGCGCATGCTGGAGCAGTTTTTCTCATGCACAAAAGCAACAGTGGCATTCCACTACAATGTAGCCGGGTGACCTTATTTGAGGGCAATATGCATCTCATGCTCACCATGATAACATCAATGAATCAAGGCTCCTATATCCCAATCCCAAAGAATGCAAATTCATGAGTGCGCTGAAGAGGTAATACATGTCAAACTACAAGACCACCCATCATTCCAGCCTTGTCAGCAGTCTTGTCTGCCGAACCTTCTACCTCAACACACTGGAATTCAAAATTGCAGCCCAAGAAGAAAAGTAAAGAAACATCCATGGGATGGGGGGGGTTGGGGACTGGTCTGCAACAAACATGTTGGAAGAAGGAGCAGTAAATCTACAATAGCCAACGTTGCTTTGAGATGCTTTGAGTGCAAAATTACAAGGCTCTTTTTGCAGCTCAGTCTCAGCATCGGCTGCCTTGTCAAATGCCCCCTTCACGGCCTGTGAAACCTGGTCGGCAGCAATGCAGTCTGTGCAAACATCACGCGGGTTGACATTGCAATATCATGCAAGTTCCGTGTGCGTAGGAATAGATGCAACAAAGCGATTGTGCGTAAGCGCGTCATCTGGCGCGCCTCATCCACCCATGAATTGGCTGTGCCCTCCACATCCTTGGTCTTGTCTGCTACCTGCATCCAGCACCACTACGTGTTCGCTGTGTGTCAATTGTTGAATTTGCATGGGAAGGTTACAGTGTTGAATCATATCTGGAGTCTACTCCAGTTGACAGAATGTTCCGTCAAGATGTCCGCATCGTTGCTTTTGTCAACCTTGCTTGGGAGCATCTGCGCCTCCTTCTTGAACTGATCAATCATGCTTTCAGGGTCCTACCACTCGAGTACTCATGATTCTCTGTCTGTGCAGAAGAGCATGCAGATTGCCTAACGTAAGAAGTCTGAAACTGTGCAAAAACGGCGGCTGAGCGGCTATCCTCTTGATCTAGCACAGGCGAGACATATCGAAACATATCAAGACGTCTTCGAGCCTTGCCCTCATTCTCTGCAAGCAACAATGGGCCCGTCACCGGCTTTGATCCGGAGCCGCCCTGCGTCACAACGCTTCGGCTTCCGCTTCTGTCGGTTTTCTCAGCGGCTGGACCGCCGCAATCTGGTGGGGCAACCAAAGAAATTGACATACCTCTGCAGCAATGATGCTACTGAACTTATTTACAGTACAGTAATGCTTATGATCAACATATCTGAGCGCTTCTCAATGATGAGTGAAGTTCCATGTGCAATGAGTAAAACACTCAGCAATCTCAGCATGTCATCCGGCCCTTAGTTTTATCTGCGCGAATTCAACATTGCAATGGCTTGCTCGACCACTCAGAACATCTGGGCATGGTGCAAACGCATCTTCGTACAAACTGCAATTTTGTTGTCACTACTAAAATAGTGAAGATTACAGGCACCGGAAATTTGTTTAAGCAATATGAGGGTTCATGAAGGATCACTGCTTGACCCAAATTAGCAGAATGCCTTTCATGCCAAAGCCTCTTAAATCAAGGTCTTCGGCGCGTCAACACCTCTTTGGGCTCTGTTGGGCAGTTGTCAGGGTGCACGGCTTTTGACACAAGCTGGATTAAACGGACAGTCGTGATCAGCACTTTGCCGCACCCCACAATTCAAGCCCCTAACTACTCCCAGGCAGCGTATTGGAGACTGAGGCCTTTCCATCAGTTTGCTGCCCGTGTCAGCAGCAGAGCATTGGACGAGGGTCCTTCGTGGCTCTCGAAATAGGTTGAGGAGGTGCACTGCTGATGGAAGCAAACAAAGAAGGGTTCCTTTCAGGAGGGTCCCGCTCGGGTCCACGGAGTCTATTGATCATTCTGGGATTCATCAATTCCACCATGAGCAGTGGTGCCTCAGCTAGGAAGAGAAAGCAACTCATTGGAAGCGCAGGGATCTAGATTCAAAAAAAGGCCAACAAACAGAAAAGAGTCTCACCGATGAATATCACTGAGCTTTGGGGTTCACATGTACAAATATTGCTATATATATGTCATATATAATATATTATTGTTTTTTAAAAATAGTAGCCAGTGCCAGACCAACTCAAGACATGTTGGCTTTAGAAATTGCAAGAAAAACTGCCAGGGTTGGCAGTTGGAATACCAAGAGCATCAACTGCACTCAGTGCAATCTGCCCTTGTCTGGTATTGGTATGCAATGGTCGCCATCATTCTGGAAAATGGGCCCTTAAAAAAAGGACATTTGATCAAGCCTTGATTCTATATACAATTCTACCACAAGCGCTGAGAAAAAAACAAGAACAAATGATGGTCATAAGAAAACTGTTTTGCACTTAGCTTGATCAAGTAGAATTATTGCTGTGTTGCACTGCCCAGGCAATGATACAGCAAGGAACAACGGGTATTGGATGTCTATACTGAGCTAGAGCACAAAGCGAGCATTTTCCTACAAAAGCTCTTGTGGAGTGTTCAGAACAAGGATTCTTTGCACAGTGACATTGGATGCCTTGGCCTCTTTGACGTGCCTTCTGAATGTAAACCTATGCTACAAGCAGCAAGTATCAAGTGTCTATCATCTCAATCAATTCATCTACTGTAGTGCGGCTTTTCTCATTCTCCAAAAGAGCCAAGCCAAGCTGTGTGCTCGCAAGACTTTTGTGTTCATGCGCGTTCACTGACCTTGTGCAGAACCTTCGGATGCGGCCTGAGTGCGGCACAAAGCCTCAATCGGACTCAATCGTAGTTCGTTCTATTTTTTAACTATGCTAAGCTTATGCTAGTATCAATTGCCTCCAACCTACTAGCAATGGCCTCCAACCAGAAGCGATGGCCTCCAACCTAGACGTGCTGTCTGGCCCAACAGCCCAACCCAAACCAGGACATGGCATAGACTGAGTCGATGACCTCTTGCCCTCGCTACGCAAAAACGGATGTGACTGGAAACGGGTGAGCTATCCAGTGACCAGTGCTTATCACATGTGTTCTTAAAACCATCAAGACACAGAATCGGTGATGACAAGGAGATTCAAACCATGTGAGGCCAGCGGTTTGAGTCTCGTGCTGTTTGTTGTGCCAACCCGTTCAGGTAAGAGGCTTCAGAGCAGCCATCTGCACCAAAGCTCGCGGCTTGGCATCCTGTCCATTGCCAGCTGGAATGGGAACTGATGTCACAGGTATGCATGTCCCTGCTTCTTCTTTGGCAGTTACAGTTCATCTTCACTTCGTGTCTCTGAGATTACTGACCTCACCATGTTCCAATGAGTGAAAGACCTCCCCGCCACAGCCTTGCGAAACTCCAGGATACCTGAGAAGGCTTCTGCGTGGAACTGGGAGCAAACAGGTTAAACAGGCACTCTTGATGGTCAAGATTTGGTGTTCCTGATCTCTATGTTTGCAACAAATTGTGCGTACATGCATGAAAATAATCCAGGGCTGTGAAAACAACTGGCCACAAGGATATCAACACTTCACACACAAACAAACAAACAAACAATTAATTCTAAAAATGATATAAAAAGAAAAACACACACAAAAAAAAAAACAAACTCTCGGTCAATACAATCTGAACTATTGGCCCAGGCACTTGAGGGCTCAATCTCCACTTCAGATTCAACCCAAAGCCTTGGCTGGGATGCAGGTGCACTGACAGAGTTGTATCAATTATGTCGCCAAGATGCTCGTTGCAAACAACGGCGGCGATCAGCAAAGCTCCTCGCGGGCGTCGAAGGAAGGCGTGCACAGGAAGGAAGGAAGGAAGGTTGCTAAGATATGATGAGAGCAACCCGATCAAAAGGACCATACTTGTTATACCTCTTCATGTCCCTTGCATTCCAGTGCATTTGGTGTTTGTCCATGGGCATTGAGTCCTCCGAGCATCTCGTTCGGTTGCATGACCTGAGTCTTGGCCGGCGGTAGATTAGACATGATTAGACAGATTTGGAAAGACCTAGTATATTAATGTATTCCAGCAGCATAGAACCCCAACAGTAAACTGTTTGCACATTATATATACTTAATATACTTGTAATTACATGTTTCATCATGTTTCAGTATGCAATAATAAGAAGCAGGTATATACTTCCAAACCAACCTGTCCGATCAGAAACTGGCTAGGCCCAGGCAAATCCACGCAAGGTGTTATGGTTTTGTGCTCAAGAGTGTTGAAGGGGAAGCATGTCGTCGCAAAGGGTTGTGATGTTGTATTCAAAATTAAAAGAGCCAATTGCATGCATAATTCCGCAGGTGATTCATCCAAAGCATCTGCGTTCTGATGCCAACAGCATTGCTCGATCTTGTCATGTGTGGATGGCAAGCACATCTATAGGTTTCTTGAACCAGTGAGCTGTCTGGAATCTGAAGCTTTGGAAGGCTGACACTTGCACAATGCCAAACAAGTGTTGTTACATGTAATATGTATATATACAACGCGTAAGCATTTTAGCAAAAAAACAAAAGAGTCGAGCAACAGTGTTGGTACCTGTGGTTTATTGAGCCTCCGAGGTTCACCCCCGTTTTCACTCACTTGAGTTGAGGCAGTTTCTGGCCTCTCAGACATTGAGTTTCTTTCTTCAACTTGTAAATGCCAGAGGCAGCTAGAAAGCAATCCAAAAAATCAAGTGAATATCCAAAGAATCAATGCAGCGAATCAACAGCAGTGTCACATGCATATATACATGTATCATAAATTCTTATGATGTATCTATACTCTATCTGTGTAGTGTCATTTTTCAATCAAGAGCTTTGGCTGAGTCTGTCATCCATCTGAGTCTCCCAGCATCTCCCAGAAACAACATGGCCGCCACCGCCGCCCAGAGGGGCTCCGAGGCCGCCAGCAGCGCGACGTCGGAGCCCTTCACACGGCGCAGCGCCTCGTTGGCCAGCCACATTGTGAGGACCTCAGGACCATCTTCAGGACGCTTCAGATTATGTAAAGGCAAAAAGGCAAAGTGCATTGCAGCTTTTCTTGTTTTCTTGTTTCTTCCATTGCGGGGTAAACCGTAAGGGAAGGAGGGAAGGGCCGGGGGGATTGCTTCAGCCCCTTTTCAGGCGTACGAAGGACACCAGTGGAACATGGCGAAGGATCGCTCGAGACTGGCCAAAGGGATCGCTGGTCTTACTCCTAGTAGCGTTCTTGCTCCTAGTAGCGATGCCAGGAGCCCCTAGTAGCCTAGTAGCGTTCTTGCTCCTAGTAGCGATGCCAGGAGCCCCTAGTAGCGTCCTTGCTCCTAGTAGTACGGCCAGGAGCCCCTAGTAGCATCCTTGCTTCTAGCAGGGACCAAAGGGAGTCTAGAGTCTAGAGACCTTTTGAATCCTTTCGGTCTTGGTTTGCAAAAGACTTTACAGCTGAGGAGGCTGAAGTTGCATTTCTTACACTGACGTTACATATTGCTGTTTTGGACCTAGGGGGTAAACCTGACCAGGCATGACATAGTCTTTAGGGCTTTCTGGTGATTCGTCTAGTGGATATTTAACGCACACTCACATATATCTTGGGGAAGTTTGGAGTGCAGTATAACTTGAATCAACAAACATTCAAACATTCACCTCAACGTACTTTGCCTGATCGAAGTCTTGAGACTCAGCCTCTTAGGCCCAGACGTTGCCAATCAGCGCGGAGAAAAGCAACGATGGCATAAGCCCTGGTGCCTGCAACACCTGTGGCAAGTCGCTGAGAAGTTGCTCCAGGCCATCCACGCCACCCTTCAGAAAGCTGGAAGCCAAGGTCCAGCCTCGTGGCCAAAGTCAGAAAGATTGGGAACGGAACCTGAACTCCCCTCTTTTTTTTCAAGGCCTTGAAAAAGGCCTTTGACCTTGGCATGCCTTCTTCTTTGCCTTGTACCAAAAACCTGCTCTACCAGAGGAGTTTGTTGCTTCGCTCAAGCATCGCCTGTGCAGCCCAGAGCCGTCATGGCCAGCTGCAAAGCAGTGGATGGCAGGGTGTCTTGAGGGAACTTCTTCCTCAGTAAATCACCATGCCATGCATTCGCTGCATGGGGGTATGGTTTGACGGAAACCTATAGTCGACCAGTGGTGAGGTGTCCTATGTTCAACAGTACCCTTCTCCTGAGACATCTCTTTTGAAGCCTCTTCTATAGCCTGAGTGCAGACACCCATTTCTGCTCAAGCTGAGTCGCATGGTCTGTCCCAAGATAAACCAACCAGCTCCAAAGCACAAGGGGACCAAGCTGCAAATCAGGTCGCCTCTGCTTGCTCAATTGGCAACTTCACTAAAAGGCAAGTTGCACTCGACACTCTGTTCACGAGACATCAAACATCTTCAAGGAAGGAAGAAGTCGAAAAGGAAAAAAGCAAGGTCTAAAGGTCTCAAGATCAACAATCGACTATAGTTTAATTCTAATGTAATTTAATTCTAATTTAAAGCAATTTAATTCTAATTACTTTTAATTCTTGTTACTACTAGTAAGGCACTTGTTACTAGAAGCGATGCACTTGTTCCGAGTAGCTTCTTTTCTTAAAGGAAAAAGCAAGGTCTAAAGGTCTCAAGATCAATCAACTATAGTCGTGCACAAAAAGGCGCTTCGACATGGGCCAAGGTGCCAGAAACCAGCTCTACGGTTCCACAACCAGCAAACTCCAAAATTCCCACTCCTCGGAGAATGTGTTGATGGATAGGTTTCCAGCTGCCTATGATCGCATTTTCTCTGAGCCAAATAGTTTCGGCCCGGTGAGAGACGCAGCAGGAAAACACAGCGACGCAAGTTCTCGCCATCTCCTGCCACAGCCAGCGCAGCTGCTGCGAGGGTGCCAATCTTAAATTGCCGCGCCACAAAGCAGGTGATGCCTCGAAAACACATCCAACGGGAGCGGTCTGCGTTCGAAGTCTGCTGACGGCAACGAGCTATCCAGTGTGGGCTTACTTAGAGCTGGACAACTAATTGCAGTCATATTAATATCATATTATGCTAATTGGACAAATAGTGTCCTATTAGGTGGTTGGAGGCCATCGCTAGTAGGTTGGAGGGTAGGTTGGAGGCCATCGCTATTATTATGCTAATGGACAAATAGTGTCCTTTCGGCTCAAACAGTGGGAAGGAAGCTTTGAGACATTCCAGTGAGCTTCGCTGAGCTCATCTGCGGCCTTCACCTTCGGATACGAGTTGATCTGTGGCCGAGATGTTGAGATGGAAACCTACCCACCTGTGTGCAGTGGCATTGAGTCTGCGCCTGCACACACAACGGCTTGAAGTGAGCCGAAGAAGGAGGTCTTTGCGGCGCTCGTGCCGAGACCCATGGCCAGGAACATCGCCATGTAGGCTGGCAGGAAGTCCGGTGAGTTGTAAGGGCAAAACAAATCCCACAACAATATTGTTTCACCAGAAGTATGAGCATCTCTAATTTGGAAGTCTCGAAACGCAAATAAAGTTTCAGCGCCCTCAAGCTTCAGAGAAGTATATACGCAAACTCAGTTGTCGTGGAGTTCAATGTTCTCTCTGCCACAGGGAGCCTGCACCATAGCAAGTCCCAACTTGCATGGAACCAAACCTGGGCGGCAACAGTGACTCTCACCAAGCCAGCCTGCCAACAAATTACTATATAACTCATTGGCCCTTGACTTTACAGAAAGATTTGACAACCTTTAAAATTAGAACTGGCTTGACTGGCTTGACAAACACATACATCCGATCCAGGCGTTTTCATGGGCCCATGATGTCATAAGCAAGATTCAGGCTTGCAAACATGTTTGTGTTTGAGCCACAAACACTACTCTGTGCCAAGACCCCCACATACTCTCTAGGGAGCTCGAAGCAAACAACCAGGGCGATAGGCACAGCGTGGCCACCAGGAAGCGCAAGGCTCCAAAAAGGCAGCCAGGCTCCTCATGCATTAGGTCATTAGGTGCACAGCTGTTGGCATGAGTGACTTTGTGGTCAACCCCACATCCGTGTTCACAACGATTGCTCAGGAGCTCATCTCAGACTACTAGTACTTGACACTCCGTGCAAACAGCAGTCCTCAACTCCAGCAGATGCTAAAGCATCAATGCCGGCTTTGGAAGAAACAATGCTCCCTTATTGAAACAAAGGTGTCAGTGGAGGTCCAAGGTGCATTTCATGTGTGGTTCTGTGCATTGTCTTCCTTCAAGGATATGCCAAGCTGCCACCCCACATCATCGCATTGAACATGCCTCGCATTTCCGGTCGCTTTCGCCACATCTCCGCTCGCTTTCATTGACTGTCGGCGTTGCATGCTCTTTGTACGATTCGAAGGAAGGGCACCTGTTCCCAGGTCTAAGGCCCCAACTCACCGACTTCCTGGGCGGTTTCCGGTGTTTCTTGAGTCTCCCTTTCACAATATCGGACGCATGAGCCACAGACTTGCCCAACAAACTCTGCTTCAAAAGACACAATGTCTGGAAGGGTCCGTGCTCATCAAGATGTCAACTTGATTGGTCACAGTATGGTTCCAATCTGGATCCAGGTTTAGCATGTTTTAGTACCATCATCTGCTTGGTCTTCAACCAAAACGCCCTGGCCAACAAGGATATTACCTGCTGCAAGCTTCCACAGGCCCTCGCTCTCCAAGAAATTCGCTTCAAGTGCTTCAGGTTGAGCAGGAAGGACTTCAGCAGAGCCATCTGCCAGTGCTTGCTGCGAGGGGCTCCTGGTTCTTCCAGCAAGAATTGACTCCAAAGGCCCCTTGAAGTATTCAGACGCGCAGCTGCTGCAACTTGTGTCCTGGAACTAGCAACTTGCCAGCCCGGCACAAAGCACGGAGCCAGCCTGGCGGCTGGAGAGCTTCAGAAGTTTCTGCGAAACGGTATTCTTCTTTGGAAGGTGTTTTTGAGTGATTTGGGTTTAGATTACTAGAGCTTGGATTCACAAGAATAAGAAGGTCGACTATTCCAGGAGTTCAAAGAGCAGGGAGAAGAATGCGTCACAGGGCATTTGACATCAGTGGGATTGATCAAATCTTGCTTTGTTAAAGCAGCCTCCAGTAGTGACTGACTTTTCCCAGCTTAGACAAAAGGGTAAAGAAATTGGTAAACCAACTACTGGGAATTACGGAGACAAGAAGGCTGGCAGCTTGTCCGTAAGAACGAAATTGCGTGTTCGATCGTTTACAACATGCAGACTGAGAGGGCTTGGACTGGATTGCCTAAAGTGGTTTCTCAGGTCTTGGCATGCCAAGACGGGCTCTACTCTAGTCTGGTCAACATAAAGTTGGATTGGCAACAATTCAGAAGACGTGCACCAGGTTTGCAAGTCTTTGCTTTTGTCATGTTGTCATATTGAAGTTGAAAATATATGGGTGGCATTGAGACCGAATGGTGAAATGCAATCATAGTGGTCCAGTGAGATGATTGATCATCAGAGCAAGAGCTACAAGAAAATACTGCCGTCTCTTGGCATAGAATCTTTGTGAGGACTGAAGTAGTTTCCAAGCCCACCTCCACAAGAAGATTCCCAGGACGGTCAAGGTGAGCAAGGTCTGCCAGCGTTCAAGACTGCTTGTTGGAAGCATGACATGTATCAAAATGTCTATGTATCTAAAGACACTGATAGCATTGGAACTTGTGTGTTCTGCTATGGGAATCGTTCAACTCATGTAGGCTGGTAGTTGCCACCAAAAAGCATTACAAAATGATCCAATGTGCCAAAGGATCCCAAAGGGAAGAAGAGTCAAGAGCATGCGAAACATGAGAACAAGATGGAAAAAAAACATAGAAAAACAATTGGAAATATGTTGGGTGTCGTATGATGTCGTTTGCTTCCCTGCCTTTCGCTTCTGAGCTCTAATGGCCATGGCTCACAGTCGGGGTAATAGCAAAAAACTGAGCAATAGAGAACATCGCGCAAGGAGAGAACAACGAGCAATCTCAATCGAGTAATCACAACCCCAGTGTGCTTCTGCTAGCATCCCGTGCTCAAACTCTGGTTCACGCTAAGTGTACAGTAAGTGTATCATCCAAATCCGGCCATTGAAAAAAACCCGCTAGAATCATAGGTCCTGGTCGCCCTAAGCTCAGCCATGTTCTATTGGGCACTTGGCACTATGCACACCCGTGTGTAAAAATATGTAAACATTGTATTGAAATATACTGTACATATATTGTATAATTAACTATATGTACAAACATGCCTTCAACACACTCGGGTCTTGCAAAGATTATCCGCCCTGTGGAGAGGCCTTCTTGGCATCTTCTATCCTCTCCTTGTTGCTGTTGTACTCACCTTGGTCAAATTGAATGGCAACAGACTCTCCATGCCTTTGATGTGTCCGAAAGCATTCCAGTTGAAAGTGTCACGAAGATCAGGTCGATGCTTTCGACGGACTTCATGGCATAGCTCTGGTAGTCCTCGCAAGAGTCACACGAAAACCGACGGTGCTTTGGAATCAATCATTAAATAGAAAACCTACCAGCGACCAAGCGGTACATATTCAAGTCAAACCCGAGAAGCTGTCTGTCCCATTCGCAAGAGTAGGGAAAAGGACAGCACTCTCAGAAACTGTTCTCATGCAACTTGTTGATACACAAGGCACTCACTGAATCACACCACTGTGCTCAACAGTGCCGACATTAAGAGTGAGTAGCAATGCGCAAAGCAACAAATTCAACAGGACCGGCACGTACTGAAAAGAACCGCAAAGCACAGATCAGCTCGACTGATCGTGTTGGGTTTGCAAGGAGGCCTTGCATCCTCTCCAGTTTCCGCGCAGGAGTGGCTTCCATACTCAATACTGCATCTTGTATATGTGTATGTGTGGGGTTGGACCATGGACCACTGCTGCTGTGCAAATTAAAATATATTATACAGGAGCAGAACCCGGCTGCTCAGCAGCTGCTATCCCAGCAAAAATCAGGGAGTTACAGTCTCACCGTGAAATGTTGGTATCAGGTCAAAGTTTTATAGGGAACAAAATGACCCTTGAACAACACCAAGCCTTCCTCGATGTACCTCTCGCCAAACCCTGGGTCATTGTCTCATGTTTGTTGGCGCGCTCCTTGGGAACGTACTTCTTCAAGCTGTCAGACCTGTTCGTCCCCCAGGTCGGAGCTGTTCCGGTTTGAGGTGGGTTCTTCTCCTTTTTGGGGGAACCAAGACGTGCATGATGGGATCCTCAACATCATGGGGTTTAGCTGGACTTCCTGGTTTAGCTGGACTTCCTCTATTAAAACAACAAGCAGTTGCAGTGTTAAAATAGGTTAAACTGTATAAAGTATAAACAAAAGGTCTGGAAAACAGATTTCCTGTCAGCATTCCAGCTCCAAGGGTCCGCATATTCAAGCCTCGCTTTGAGCCAGGCATCCAGTTGATCCATTGTTGTGCAATCCTGCCAGAGTTCCAACAAAAAGCACCTGACAACCTCTCTCAGTTACGCAGATTCCATCCCAGCTGGACATGCAAATCACTGGCCGGCCACTGCACAATCACCCAGTTTAACTCGTTGCAGGCCCTGAAACCCTGACAGGCCAACCTTGGCATCCATGGGCGTGGGTGCCTCAGTCCTCAGTTCAGCAGAGTAGATGCGTGGGGATTGTTGCAGGTCGCTCTTGAGGGTGTCAGAAGTCATGAGTCTGTGGTGTCTGCATTTCTGTCAGGATCTCAAGATCTGGAAACAACTTCCAACGCAGTAACCCTTCTGCAGTTCGTTGGGCGTGCGGACGCAGGTGCTGCGGCCAGCAAGACCTACTGCAGGCTGTCTTGGAGGCAAATCTTTCTGGTTTGCTCAGCTCTTACATTCTTACGTAGATCCCGTCTGCATTGCTTGAGGCAACAGGCAAACGAAGCCACCCAGCCTCGGCGCCTTTGGCGCCCTTGGCGCCCTTGGAGCCTTTCGCCTGCGACTTCGGTCCCCAAAAGCATAGGCACTCCACTTGGGTATCTCGGTATCTCCTACACGATTGCTTAGATTGGTTGGGAACTTGTTGAGTAGGTGTCGTTGCAGTTCCCAATTCGCTTACGATCCAGATTTCGTGGAAGAAAATATTCAAAAGGACATCTGGCCGAAACAGCAGCTGCACCTGCCTCCTTCTCTGCCTGGCACCAAACTGAAAATACTTTCTTTTTGCAGGTGTCCCTCCCAAGATGCTTTTCAGTCGTTTCATTCCTTTGTTTGGGTAGATTGTGGATGCTGTACTGGTTTCACATGGTTTCACAAAAAACAGATTTCAGCTGGCCTGCTGAGCCTGCGCGGCCTGCTGTGCAGCCTGTGCTGCCTGCTGTGCTCGAATCTGTGCCTCCACGTCTGGAGTCACATACTGCGACCTGAAACGTGGCGCGACACCCGTCGAACAGCTGTGCCAGAAGCATGGTGAGTAAACATTGAAATTCCAGCTACAGGAATCACGTTTGATGAGAAATGGCATATCTGCACATTGTAACCGTCTTGCTCAGAGCAATGCTGTTGAGGTCAATTAGAACGAAAGCAAGGTAGCAAAGCGGCACAAAAGGCCATGCTTTGAGAATGTCGGTTAAATAAAGCACAAAAGCTGAAGGATCCAGACCTGTACATGCCACCCAGCTGATTGGCCAGCTGTGCCTGCGATGCCTGCACCTGCAATCCATTACACGTATGATGTGCAAAAAAAGGATTCACATAAGGGTCTCTGTTCAACTTCCAAATCATATCACTCTGAGGTCTTTCAGGTCTTGTAATCTGGGACCATCAAGCCAACGTGTTTCTGGACCGGAACAACTCTCCACACATCAGCCAACCCACCTGGGCTGGGGAGCCACCAAAGGCACCGTCATAAGCCTCAACGGTGGGTTGGCTGACGGTGTCAAGTTGTGCTATGCCTTTCAAGTAGGGATCCTTTAAATGTCTAGCCTCATCTACTGGAGAAGCCTCAACGCCCCAACTCCAACGATGCCAACACACGAGCCACCCACCTACACTTGGAGAGTTATTAAAGTGCCTATGCAAGCCTACGTAATCTGAAAGCTGTTGTGTCTTCCAACGCAACGGTGCTGCTCCACACTTGTTGCAAGTACCATTAATACTGCTAGCTCAAATTGGACTGTTGTGGGGCACCAGAATCAACTTAACATGCCCCCGTCTGTTGACCCAGTCAACTATGCATCTCCAAGCCCAACCACCCGGCAACAAAAACTCCCCTCCAGCCTGTCCAACTTGGGTGCCCATAGGCGCATAGGCTCCGCCAAATCTAAGCACATCCACG